CTGGAACTAACGTATCAGAACTAGTCTGGAAATATGTGAATACTGTTCACAATTATTTGAAAGTAGGCTTCTTTTCTTTTTTTGCATTTCTGGCATCCATACATCCATCTTCTTTTGCTTATCTATGGCCGGTTCACGGTGGCAGCAGACTAAGCAAGTTGACCCGTCCCTCTCCCCAGCAATGTTTTCCAGCTTCGTTATTATCCTTTTGTTTGGGAATCATTGTTTGCCATTAACTGCTATCAGGAAAAAGATGGCTTTTTTTTTCTTCAAAAAACGAAATAAGAAATTTTTAGTTTTAGATTCAGATTTGAGTTAAAAAGAGAAACAGAATATCATTTGAAAAACGATTAGCTGTACCCCTTGAGGAGCCTGTTACCCAATAAGAAAACATAAGCTGTAACAGCCATGTAACCTTGCTACGAGATACTTTTTTCAACTACATTTCTAAATATTGCTTTCAACCCTGGGTGTGTATAACACTATTTGATAAGAGAGGCAGGTGAGTGTGAGCTGAGGTGAGGCTTTGAACAGGGCGGGTGTTCTCAGAGTTATCAGCGAGTTTGTCTTACGGGTTGGCCTGTTGTCAAGTAGGTCGTCAGTTTCAAACTCTCAGCACACGTACACTTGAACACCTACATGTGTGAGCTGGTTTTCATTTGTGTTACCTGAGCAGGGGCACTGCAGGTCATGTCTGATTTATGTGTGGAGCATATAGGTTGCACTACTGAGGTGAAGTGGTACTACATGTTATAGTATACATTAATTATAGATGTGAATACAAGAGAATCTATGTACAGCAGCAGATGAAAAAAAGCCAAATCCACTTCAGTAAAAATACATATAGAAGGATTAAAAGAGGGCAACATAAACAGCATTTTTCATGTAACAACAGGCAAGCAATGGATGTAAAAATATGTTCTTTTGATGTTGTCCAACAACAGAAGAAAAAAAGAAAATCCCTGCTCCCTGTGTCCACACACTCATTGGGGTCGGGTGGAAAAGACGGAGGTTTTGGAGCAGAAGCTGAAGCGTGGGTTTCAGGAACAGAGCGCCAAACCTCAGCCGCTGCCGACAAGCTCGGGCTTAGCCTCAGAGGGGGAAGGAGTGGGAGGTGATGAGAGGGGAGAGAAAAGGGGGACAAGGAAGGGAGGAGGGGTGAAAGGAAATGAGGCACTGGGGAGTTTAGCCAAATCCAACAGTGGTCATGGAGGAAAAGACGTGATGAACAAGTTTCTTGTCTGTAAACGTGACATAAGTTCAGTGAATACTTTTAGTGAACTTCTACAGCTGTACATTGGACTTTTCAACTCAGAATCCATGGAGAGGACTTGACTTACACTTTTAAAGTGATTTTTTAAACTTCTGTAGATGTATTGGTTATCTGAGGCTGATCATATCAAAAGGTAATATGTGTTACCTACAAATAGGTGAAAGAACTGTAAAAATAAAGAGAAAACTTTCAAAACAATTCAGTGGACTCCTTTTCTCAAACAGGATCCAAAGAAAGAACTGGAGCACACAAGTCACTTGAGCCAAATCTATTTAGGTGCAAAAGACGCACTGCATCTTCATCAGTCAAAAAATTGTGAAAACTTTATCAGGGTTTCACTAAGGAAATATTTTGCCTGTTAATATTTTATAATTGCCCAAATCAGATGTTTGCAACAAGCTGGTACCAATCCTAAATTATTATCAAGTCTTGCTCCCAATTTATCAGGTAAAGGGAACCTTTGAAGTTAGACTATTGAACCTGGTGCAGAAGCAGTAGCTTTGTTATTTGCTGTCTTGCTTTCAACATCTAGATTTTCATTTAGGACGTTTTTTCTCGCCACTGTAACTTTGCTAAAGTGCTGTACTTATGATGGATTCACGTTGAGTCTTTGTAGATAACATAACAATCAGTAAGGTCTTTTACCAGCTTTTTGTAGAGTGTCTTGAGATAACATTTGTTATGAATTGGTACAATACAAATAAAGATTGATTGATTGAAGCAACTGAGAGACAGAGAGCACAGAGGAGTCAGATGATGCTAGTTTGTACAAGCTAACCCTGATTGGTTGTTTGATTTAGACACGATGATGAACAAAATACACAGTGAATAGAATTTATTATTTTTACCAAAATTCTAATAAAATGATGTTGCATACTGTAGCTTTCAATGCGAGTTTTGGTTACTTAAAGGGGCAGAATGTTAAAATTGAAGCTACCACACAGACTTTGGCTCCATAAGCACAATGTGTCAGCGCTAGTCATGGGGCTATTTTAGCTTCACTTTTGTACAACAGGAGAAGGTGGAGATGCATTGTCCATCGTTTTATACAGTCAATTGTTGACATGAGCAATATTTTGTAGTTGCAGTGTATTTGTAGTTATGAATTACTTCAGTTAGGGGTCACATGTTTTTTTATTGGGTGATGTGTTTCACCGTTGTGTAAATGTCTCTGACTTAATATAAGAACTTTTCTTTGTGCTTGTTAATCTAAAGTGCACCTGCTCTGCTGTTGCTCGGTGAAAACTCTTGAACATGGTTACACTGTTTTCTTACTGTGGTTCCTTAAAAACGTGCTTTGTATCCTCAAACCGCCTTTCAGCTCCTTCCTAGAACTACAAAACGCAGCTCAATGAGCAGTGACCACCACACCGCTTTACCAAATACAAATCATAACACACATGGGTACAGCCTGCAGTTCTGAGAATACATGCTAGAAATAGATGTTTTGGGAAAAGCAGGCGTTTTTCATCCAGCAGCCAAAGTAAAAAATTTTATGTAGCAGGACAGCCTCCACCGATGTTATAGGGCACAGCAGACTGAGCAACCAGGTATTACTTCAACCTCACAGATCTCTCAGAATAGGACACAAAGAGTGAGGAAACAAAGAGCCAAGAGAGCGGCAGAACAAAAACCTGACACACTGAACTAGTAAAACACACTGACATACACACAAGGCAAGCAATGGCAACGACCACAGCACACCAAGAAAAACATATCCAGATGTTCTCCTCATTGAATCACCATCCCCCTCCTGCACACTCACAGACACACACACACACACACACACACACACACGGGCCACACATGGGCTACATATAACAGCAACTTGCGCTCCAACTTTTTTCTCCCCTTTCCTTCTAATGTGGACACACACACTTGAAAAGCCATACTTGTGAGGGCTCCTCTTGACGTAATGCATTCCCTGAAGCCCCAAACCGTAACCTTAACCATCACAAATAAATCCCAAACTCCATCCGCAAGTGGGCTGCTTCAGGTACCGGAGAGACCAGAAACATGAGCCAGGAAGTCCAGTTTGCGAAACAGATCCGTTAGGCTAATTAGATGCCAAAACCATGCTGGTACAGAGGTTTTTTTTAATAATGCTTTTAACTGTATGAAAAAAAAGCAGTTTTTAAATCGGCCATCAAAACAATCACACTGACATGTGAATAAACAGAATAAATATACAGTAGGTAGCAAAGAAGCCAATCTATCATTATTTATTGCCCATGGTAATGCCTTGACAGATAATGCAAGATTGTTTAATTTGTCATGTGTCAGTTAGTTTGTAGTCCTGTTGCATCAACAAAGTCACCATATTGGACCTGACCCTGAAATGTACAAAGATGAAACCAATGTGTTTGTCTTTTTTGACCATTAACCTGCTAATCTGACTAAATATTTTGCCCATTTAAATTGCCAAACAATACTAATTGTCACCACAGGCTCTCACTTCTTTTAAGGTCATGGTTTGTCTAAAGAAAGGCCAGAAACCAAAAGATATTCACTGTGCAATCAAAATGAAAAGGCCAAAACAAATTCCATTACAATTACAACTTGATTTTAAGTTTTTTTTTTTTTTTAATTTAATGACTTCATCTTTAAACTTGGAAAACCAATCTTAATACTCAAGGAAAATCTTTATGAATGTTTGGTTTAAAGCGAGGGTCCTCATCTTGTAGACTTGTCCTCAGTCCTCTCCCAAGTGTAATACTTAAGGTGGTCCCCACAAAGAAGGTAGTACAAGAACACACAAACACACACACACACACACAAAGTCAAGACTTGCAGTTATTGAACCCAATCTTTAGCCCCTCCTCTCCTCCACTAGAGCTCCTGGCAGGCCGTCTGGTTGAGGCCCATAGTAAAGGGAGCCGTTTTCTCTGGCATGAGTGCCCGAGAGTGTGTCAGTGTGTGTGTGTCCTCGGGCCCCAGACAGGAAGGAAGAGCGTGGGCCCGGCAGCACAGCTCCAGAATTCCAGTTTTGTTTTTCTTCTTTTTCCATCAGAGCGGAGCCTGAGAGAGAGTCTTAAAGAAACAGTCATTAATATTTTCCCCTCTTAATGATGCCTCACTGTTCTCCGAGAGCCGCAGAGACTTTCACAATAAGTCTCAGTATAACTCAAAGCTTTACTATGTAAACATATTACCAGTTTGTTAAATAAAAAAGTGAAATGAATGGATCTATCTGTTTCTGATGTATCTGTTACTTGGTAAACACAGTGAGTGTCTTAAAGTTGCCCCAGGCTCATTTTCATTGAAGCTTCTAAAAATAAAAAGTCCTGATGCAGCATCAGCGGTTAAGTTACGTAAATTACTCCGGGGCTGAAACATAAGGATTTTGAACACAAGCAAGGCAGACATATTGAGCTGCCACCATCATGCTTTTGTAATAAATCCCTCAAACTGGTAGAGAAAGGGTTAAAAAAAATTGTATGGCCCAGGGAGCAGGATGACACAGTTCACGGCTTATGATCTTAACGTCTCTGCTGAGGACAATAAAGACAGAAAAGTCGTGATTTTTCTGGTAACTGCCGGGGCGCTGTGGACCAATCACAGCAGGAAGGGCTCTCTTTACAGTAACGGGTGACATCATAGATTTGGCAACATTTATGAAAACAAACTGTCTTTCACTTGAGACATAAAGACTTGTAATGAGTACCACCGGGATCATTTTATCAACTAATGTCAAGTCAGCGATATAACTGAAAAATATTTATTAAGAAGGGAAACAATAAGTTACATACAGTGTATAAAAGTTTCAGACAGAAATATATAAAGATTTGTATCTTTCAAACTGCAGTTATAACAACATTTTTAATTTAGAAAATACAAGTTTAAAAGCACTTACATTACAACTTTATGACAAGACTGCTGTTTTCAATTTCTTTCAGAGTGGACAAACCAATGAGAAGAACACAACAGAAAGTGATTTCAACACGTTCCCACTCCACCCGTGGACCTTAGTAGAGCTGAAACTAATCTTTATCATTTCAATGCATCTGCTTTTTAATTCACTGCGATACTTCCTACAGCTCATAGAGCAATGTTCAAGTCATGTCTATCAGTCTAAAACCCAAAGACCCTTCATTTGCTTTCAAAGACGCAACTTTCTGCTGTTTATTTGACTTTTAAGTTTGACCTATGGTTGACCTTTTCGGCTTTGAAACGGAATGAAACGATTGAACCAATATTGAATTTGTATTGCATTTTTGTGCGATCAACTAATTGGTTTACTGCTCATCTGTTCAGCTGTAGCACATCTTAAAAAAAGGAACATGTATATGGTATCACACATTTCAAGGCCAGAAAGGTTCCTCAAATGTAAGGCAATGTTGTCTTTAGGAAACCTCTACCAAATGTAAACTCTGTATCTCACTGCATGGAACTAGTTCAAACTAACATCAACTGAAACCAACTAAAACTGTCAACCGATAGGGACAACTCACATTTCTTTGAGATGATGCTTCACAAAACTAACTGTCTTTGTTTTTGAACTCAGAACGCTTCCATCCCTTCTATTAAGAGCAGTGTAAGTAGAGTTATTGATGTATTCAGGAGTATTCAGGTTCAGGAGTAACGATAGAGGTGACAATTAAGACCGAAATCACTTCAATTTAAGTTGAAGGTTTTTTAAAGGTTTTGTTTGATTAAAAAAAAAAAAAAGAAAAAGTAAAAGAACAGCAGCAGACTGTTTCACCTTAACTTACCAACTCACTTCATGTCAGACCGTAAATGAACTGGTTTAGCGCTGCAGTATCAGCACCTCTAGCAATAATGTCATGTGAAAAAAGAAACACCTGGGAACAACATACTTACTAAATATATGATAGCTAAGAACCCAATTTAACGGATAATTCAACAAGCCGCCACTTTTAAAAAACTATAAAATTCCTGTACTAGCTTGAGTTCAACTGAGAGGGTGACGTTATCTGTGTGTTTTCTTGTGTTTTTGGGAAAACAGCATTTTATTGAGACCGTTTAGAACGAGCTTGCTGCACAAACGAGTTGAAACATCCACATGTGCAGTACATAGGCAAGTACCAAAGTCACATGTGTCTACACTTTTTAAAGAAACTGTGTGCACACACACACACGCCCACAAACACACAAACACTAAGTGACTAGCAGCAGGTCCTTCGTCAGCAGAAATGAGACTGCGCTCTCAGCACTGTTGTAGAGGAACAACTTCTCTAATATTCAGCTCTTTCACTTCTGATATCTCTTTGTAAAACAACTTGACACTCTGCATGCACAGGGAGGCTCAGGGTGCATTTGAAGTCCAGTCAGGAAAATGGTTCACGCCAACCCTTGTGAATGTGTTCGCGTGTGAAAATCGCATTTTTCCAAGTGTAATCTCACAACACGGAGAGTGTTCTGTATGAGTGTTGCTGCTAATGGTGGAGATGTGACCCCATTTCCCTCACACCACTCAGCTCGACCTCTCGGCGACACCGCCATCTTTAGGCCTCCTCTCGTCTCTGGAGATGTAGGCCGATCTCCATCTGGTTCTCCAAACACTCTTTGAGCTTGTCCTCAGTCAGCGTCAGCCGCTGCTCCAAGATCGAAACTGTCTGGATGGAGGCAGAGAGAGAAAACGAGAGAGAGATAGAGAGAGAGAGGGGGAGGGGGAGGAGTAAGACAAAGACAGAAAAGTGGAAGGAAGGAGACGGATAAGAGAGTAAGAGCATGTTAGAGGGGACTGTACAGCATCAGCCTGACAGTAATGACTGTATAACGGGCGTGTTTGTGTGTGTGAAAGAGGCAGTTTGTGTGTTTGAGACAGATGTTGTGCGTGCAAGACAATCCAGCTGATTATCGTAGAGGGGATCTGCAGCCCGGGCAGAGTTTCTGTGTCTGGCACGCACTTTCTCTTGTTCTCCCTCTCACACAGTTGCATAAACACTCTTACGCACATGGAGAAGACAAGAAAGTTGCTATCTGAAAAAGGATGGCCATGTGTGGGTAGTGAGATCACACAGAGCGACATACTTTTCCTCCCAGCATCCTCCAACAGTGACAGTATTTGTTGTGCTTGTACACTGATCACTCTTTGTCGTTTAAGCTGGTTTTTATTAGACGTACTCGAGGTGTAACTTCCAGAGGTGTCATCCTTCATCTGAGCAGAATACTGGATGGATTTTCTGTCTCTTATTCTATCAAAGGTAAAAAAAAAAAACAACCTAATCTTCCCTTTACCATCTAAAACAAAGTGCGAGCATTAGAGGAAACCTGCACGGGCAAGAAACGTTTATAACTTCCCAAGACTGATAATCTTAAATCTTTAGACTTACTTGCAGCTTCCTGGCTAAAAGAGTGCTTCTCCTCATCATCTTGGGTATGCTTGAAGAATACACGACCAGTTATTTGCTTGCACCATTAAAGAAAACAGCTGTAGAACTTTTTGAGTTCACGGAAAAAAAAACACAATTAAAAGATGGTGAAGACAAGTTTTACTGAATGACGACAAGAAATTAAATTAATGTTCTTCAGGAAACACTGCAGAGAGGCATATTAATTTGCTTCTAACTTCTCTGAACAGCTTTTGTCAATAGGCCTCAGATCCACTGTTACCACAACAGATCTGTTGATCTCGTACAGATAGTCGAGGTCCAATCATTTGGATCAGCGTTCTCACTTCACTTCTCACTCTTCTATTTTGGGTTTAAAAGAAGTTCTCTTTAAACACGACTTTACCGGAGCATTTGAATGAAGTACGTTACAGTGAATATAATCTACTGATTATTTGTAAATGAATCATCCTCTCTTTCCACTTTCAGACTTTCTGTGAACATGTCTGCTCGTCATTTGTGAAAAAAGTTTGTAGATCTTTTCATTTAAATCTTAGGTGGGTTACTTTCACATTCCCTCAGGGGTTTTCAACCTGTGCATTTTTTATGTACACATTCATCTCTGATTTGATTTTAATGTTGTCTGTTTGCACAATTAAGGACCTAAAGAAACACTAAGGTGGATACAGTTCCCTCTTGATATTTCATATGATAGTTTATTGAGCTAATGTCGCCTAGTGACAAACTCAATCGCAGCTATGAAACCATTTTAGGCAGTAGTACTTGGCTTCAGATTCGTCTCGGCACAGGAACCATCAGACAGTAAACATTTCTTCCCGCTGTCAGGGGAACCTGTCGAGATTTGGACCTGTGTGTGAAAGATATGTCAACATGTCTTGACCTGGAACTCTTTGGCTCACTTTGTGCCAGTGAGTGTAATTTTGAAATTGCTAGAAAGCAGAGTGGAGATGAGTCATTTATCAAAACAAAACCAGCTGTGTGAGAGACAGACACGGAAAAACAATGCAATTACGGCTCCTCTTAAAATAGTTCCGCTTTAACTGATTTGCTGGTTAGATTTGTTATAAAAATAAATGTATGCTAACATGAAGTTGTGCTCATTCAAGGCTCTAAATAACTGATCCTTTATAATAACTAGATTTATTTATATAGCACCTTTAATAACAGTACTCTGACACTTGTGGCACACCATCGCTTCAGCTGTGCCTCTCTTTCTACAAGTCATTACTGTCACTCGATACACTCAGGGTAATGTGAGTAACAATGTCATTGATAAAAGAACTTTGAACCCCCAATGTGTCTTTGGATTTGTAAAGAATCCAGGCAATGTGTGATTAGCTGACTGAATAGAACAAATGATAACTCCATTACAGTCCCTTCACAAATTAAACTGCAAACTACATAACTGTTGAACATCTACAACAACCAAAGAATATGTATGTTTGTATGTCGTACCCCTGACCTTCCGGTTAGGAGACGACCGACTCTGCCAACTGAGACTCAACCTATACATGTAAATATGGATATGAAATATGTACTGCATGAAAAGTCATGTATGTGCTTAAGCAGGAACATTTTAACCAAATCAAATCATAAACATTATGAGAAAAACCAATCGTTTAAAAAGTAATCATAACAGTGACCCCACATGTGGTGTGACCAAACTCATCAACACAAAAATCACAAACATTTTATCGTTCTGATTCTTTTATCATCTCACTCTGATTGTCTTTTGTCCCATTTTAGTTGTAGTTTTTTTTTGTCAACCTGCCCAGGATGGGATGGGAGCAAATCAGCAGCTCGCCAACTCTGATGTTATGACCTCTTCCATGCAAAAATAAACATTAAATTAAAGTGTTAAAGCTATTCACTTATTTTGGTGTTTAATAGAGAATAAAAATCTAATGTCCTGTCCAGGTTATCCACTCTCTACTACTACGACCCGTAAACTGTGATAACATCTTATTAAGAATTCCTCATATGTCCACATGGAAACATGAAATGTGTCGAAATCCAGCTATTTAAAAAGAAAACCTTTTTCTTTTTTATGAGCACAGAATAGAAAGCTAACGCTCCATCATGATGGATACAGTATCACCTAAAACATTATCACTATCCTCCAGTCGAGGTTATCGGATGTCCTTACACCCCTACAAAGAGCAGAGAGAGTGTCACACAGGCTGTCTGAGCTGCTGGAGAAAGGATTTGTATCTTGCTGCATGAATGCATCATAGCTTTGTATCAACTCCAATCTTTGGTGCACAAGTAAAAACAGTCATTCTCAAACCCGAGACACCGTGTGCAGCACACACACAACTCGCCAGTCCAGCTGTGTTTGGTAATTGGCTTCATGTGACCCCAAAGGGCCACACAAACAAACACAAACACACACACACACTCAACAAGGCATGAATAATTAAACATGTAATGATGACGGAATTCACCAAGATTGTTAAAATCCCTTAGATAATCTCACACTCCAGCACTCTCCGCACACACACCAGTTCAACAGTGTGTGGGAGTGGGCGAGCGGTGTTTTCTTTTGGGTCATAAAAACATGATAAGATCTTTTGCTTTGCATCACGGAAAAGAAAAAAGTGGGCTTGTATTTCCTCTTTCTCTCCCTCTCTCTGCCTGTCTCTGTTTTCTAGATCAATACTAGCCTGTTTATCTTACCAACCTGATCCGGCGCCTGGTCCTCAGCCCGGACGGTTATTGGTGTTTGTGTGTGTGATCCTGCACGTGTCCCCAGGCAGCAGCAACATTATACGGGCATATAGTTTTCATCTGGAGTAGAAACCAAATCTTTACGCTCCTAAAAATAGAGTTTGCCGTTTTTTTTCTTCTCCAGAACATATTATACTCTCCATCGCCCCGAGCAGAAACTGGCCTCTGTTACAAAGTCTCACAGCTCTGGTATGACCCACGCTACAATAGTCTGAAAATCAAAGCGAGAAGAAGACGGCCGTGTCAGTTCTTTTCTTAACACCTAACACCTTAACACCTGAATTCACCCGGAGTTTCTCCTGCCAGACTCCTAAAAAATGTCCTGCAAGTGAGCTGATGTGAGAACGCAGCAGGATATTCTCCAGAGAATTCACCTTGAGCCAATAGGAGGGGGTGGTGATGTTTATATACTGTGACTGCTGCACGGTGCATAGAGTATCTTCACACGACCACGACGATCTCTGTGCACATAATTAAACAGTTGTTCTCCACTCTTCTGTTAAAAGTGTGATTCCGTTGAACTACACACAGCATTGATATAAAGGCAAATATTCTCATTATAGCGTCGTGTGTAGCGGACTCTGTTGCTTCGGCCGCTACTTCCGCATCTTTATTTTTAACGTCACCCCCTCTTCTATCTGACAGGAATAGTCTCCAGCTGTGAGGAGCATATGTGAACAGCCAGGTCAGGATCGGACCTCCTGAAATGATCTAGATATTTTCAGGAGTGTATATGTGGAAACAGCTTCAGTGAACTATCACAAAATTAGGCATAAAGACTTGGCAGATGGCACGGTAACATTAACTGTTCCTTAAATGATTTTAAACATTTAGATGACATAAAAAGCTTTCTGAACAGAATTCATGATTACAAACAGTTTAAATGTTAGTTCTTTAGTGTATCATACTTCTGTTCATTTTGGTTACATATCTCAGGGATTTTTCTATTACTCTTTAAGGTCCACTAAAGGTGAAATGTAATCGATAAGACTGTCATGGATGTAAGTAAGTAAGTAAGACTTTATTTATATAGCACTTTGAAAACACTCAGTTACAAAGTGTTTCACAAATAAAAGCAATCCAACAATTCATATGGAGATATTTTTCCAGAAGTAAATCACAATGTCAAGCATGGCAAACTTAAAATCAGGAAAACACAAAAACAAACTCAGCACGAGAAAGGGTTTGGGAGTTACATGAAGGCTCGTCTGCACAGGTGAGTTTGAAGATGCTTCTTGAAACAGTCCAAAGATTCTGCAGATCATGACGTTGAAAAGAAATGGTTTAATTCTCCTGTATCACTTTAATTCAACCATACGTACAAATCAGAGGCGGCTTCCAATTTCGTTATATGTCAAACACTGCGGTAAAAAAAAAACGCCACAGTCCTTCAAAGAGCACAAGTCAGCAAAAAGATAAGTGGTTTCTAAAAGTTTAGAGCCTACCCTTGAATCATAATTTTAATCTTTTTCGGAGAAACAATTATAAAAAAAGTGCACAGAGACATCCTTCTTTCACTTTCTCCTAATGTTCCC